CCTCACTGTGCTCGTATTTGAAGTTTCAGCATTCTGCTCTGACATTTCTGATAGATTTAAAATTCACCCTGTGCTCTCTTTCTCATTTTACCTCAATAGATTGCTTTGGGGAAATGAAAACTGTGATGGCATGTATATTTTCTAGGTGATATCTTTTTATGATAGGCATGATGCCTTTCCCCGGAGTTTTGTCAAATCTTGTTCTCCCATTGATTCCATTTTTTCTCAATCTTTTATACCTTGTAGAATCGTAGACTCGTGACCTTGGTCTTTGCATAAATATTATTACATGTGTTTCTCACTTGATGCTATCATGCTAACAGTCATTTGTCATAGGCTGTTGACTCATAACTATATTTATATGAGATTTGGTCACTTGTGGTTTAGCAATCTTAAGGAAAAACCTGATTCCCAGCTGGTAAATGGATTCAACCTGTTTGTGATGGATGATAGATAAGGATGTGGGTGCCATTATTATTTACTAGTTAATAAAGTCTCTGAGTGGGCTTGTGACAGTGCATCATCTGGGGAAATGTTCCTGGTTATCAACTAGAATTCATTCTAATAGAGAGGACCTTAGTGACCTGAGGTTATCCTTGATAATTTTACACTTAGTGGAGAACAGGGCTGGAGGGATCCCAGGAAGTCTGTGTAAATGCTAAGGAAACAGCCTACTTGACTCCTATTTTCATCTTGATGTAACTATGACTTTCATACAAGGAACACATGGCTTGCATTATGACTTGGAGGACAATGGAAAAAAGCCCATACAACAATTCTTAAATAAATGTACCCACTTATTGCTACAGAGTCTGAAACTCTGCTCTTGGAGTCATATCTGTAGAGCAGGGGGAAGGGAGACAGTTATTATAAAAGGGGAAAGAGGGTTAGAGCCTGGGGGTGTTGAGCATCCAGTAATTGTGGATGGGTCAAGTCATATTCTTATGTATTAAGGTAGAAAAGAGTTAAAACCCACTGGGCTAAGGCACTGCCTTCCTTGGAATTCTCCTGAAACTATATAAAAGCCTATAGTAGACTACAGTTATACCGAGGGCAGGCTATGTAGAAAGGATTTGCCCCCAGACTTTGTAGCCAGAGTCTATTGGCCCACATCCTGACCCCATCCATACTGCTTGTACAACCTTTGGAAACTTATGAACTCTTCTGTGGTTTGCTTTCTTGTTCATCAGATGGGGTTAACAGTTGTACTCCAAGGGGAATTGTGATGAATAAGTGAGCCAGTATACCAAAAGCCAGAACAATGTCTTGTACTTAGCAAGTAGTATAGGAATCTTCACAATTACTGCATATACTGGATACATTTGTGTCTGTCCAATTGCTGGTTTCTAACATTGTTTGGCACCAACTGTCAAAAATATGGAAGCCGTTTTGAAGAAAGGGGGATGGGAAGGACATTCTAAGCTTGAGATTCCATCTCCCAGTTGAGTTAGTCTGGGTACATCTTCCAGTGGGATGCATCTGACGGCATAGGGGCTCCACACTGTGGGCTCAATGAGAGAGAAGAAGTGCTAGAAAAGTGCTTATATTTTGCTAATCATTTTATCAGGGTCACTAATCCTGACATGATCTTTTTTCTCATTCTTGTTCACTTTTGGCTGATGAGAGAGTGTCTCACCAAAGTAACTGTGGATGATCCAATATTGGTGACATTACTTGTTTGTAGCAGGAGGTGGTACATTAGAGATGGACAGACCGAGGTTCAAGTCTTGTCTGTACCACCTACGATCTCTATAACTCTCAGTAAATCACTTAATGTCTCAGAATTACAATTCCTCATTTGCCAAATGGGCCTGCTAAAATATGACTACTTCCTAGAGTGTGGATGCTAATCAAATGTGATAATATGTGTGTGATAGCAACTCGCAAGCTGTAAAGGGTGACATAGATATGAGTTATTATTAGTGATTCATTTAATGCTCTCTACAAGCCAACCTGAATTTTAGCAACACCTGTGTGCTGTCATCACTTGGCTGCTGATTCTATTTGAGAGCTTTACTCATAAGCCAGTGAGCATTGATTGTATGCTGGGTTCTCTCTCACTGGAGGTGCTATGTGACCAATGGCTGGCTGGTTTGGAGTTCTAATGCAATGGCTTTCTTCTCAAAGAAGAAAGGATCCTGGTAGTTCTCAGAAGTGATTTTTCTCCCTTCTTCAATTTGTAAATACACAATATTAATAGGAAAGTTTTGGAATTATGAGCTGTTATTTGGTGATACTGTTACTCTGATAGTTGATAAAACATTTTGGGAAACCAAGAGAATTAGAGGTTGGCCAGGGTGGAATGAATACTATAAATCAAGATTACCTGAAGGGGATATGAAAGATAAACGATTAAGCCAAGATAAGAGATAATAAGGGGAAATAGCCAAAGAGCTATGGAAAAAAAAAATCTATCACTTTACAGTAACAGATCTTTGGGTATTATTTTGTACTTTTAGAAATAAGTAGCTGTGATAAAAACATTTTCACTTGTAAATTTAAGTAATAATAGGTTGTTTGTTGCTTTTTTTGTAATTCTGTATACAGGATCAATGTAGTGACTTTTGTCTACACCGGATTGAAGTATTACAAGAAGAAAGGGAAGAGGAAAGAGATGTGACTGTCACTTGTGGACAGAATCAGATGGGGTCAGACCTGTGCTCTGTGGGTCATAGAAAACATTTTCAAATACCTTGCCTTTCAGGTCTCAATCATGAACAGAAATAGGGCATAGAGGGAGCTTCTTAGGGAAGACAGCATGTTCTCAACCTTTCACCACCACTGAAAGCTGGAGCTAATGAGGGGCTGGCATTGACCCTTGGCACAAAGTGGCTGAAGTAAATAGAACACTGTAGGGATACAGGACTTTGTCGTCACTGATCGTATTACCAGAGAAATACAGTAAGGAGCCCAGCAGGCTTCTGCAAACAACGCATCCCTTTAAGTTAATTGGTGTTATAGAGAAGCTGAAATGCTTCACTTATTTACAAAGCTACAGATTTATGTAAAGCAAAACCAATTACACTTAATGCCTAAACTATTCCAGGTGCTCAACGATAATGTTGCTAAGCGCTAGAGAAGAAACTGCTGTGCGAGTGAATCCCGTTCCAATGGCAGCACATGTAGCTACTGCCATTTAGTCAATCACAAGTGGCAATCCCAGCGTGAGAATTTTAAGCTTTTTTGGTGTTTGCCTCGGGTCAACTTTATCATTCTACAGATTTTTCATCCCAAAAGACATAAAGAAAGTATAATGAGAAATTTTTGCTATTATAATGCAGAAATTAAAGAGAGAAAGCCAACAGAGGGTGTGTGTGTGTGTGTGTGTGTGTGTGCAACAAAATAAGGCAGATCCCATTTCTAATAGTGAGATGTTATAACTTGACATTTTACACTGAGATGGTGCATTTAGGGGTGTTCATGAAACTCAAATTGCAAACTTAGTATTTGAAATTTGTAGCAAGAAAAGCTTCCAAGGGATGGCAGAGTCTGCCCCACAGTTTTGCCAGGGAACAAACGCTAAACAAAGAAGGGTTTGAAAGAGTTGCTGGGAAGAATTTGTGCCTGTAAGAGAGTTAGTCTTTTTATTTGTCTTCACAACAAACAAGAGAACAAAAAATAGTTTGAGTGAGAAGCACTTGGTGCTTTACAGCTGTACTTTTGCAATTAAAAATGTGCGTCATACTGTATGGAACCACTCAGACTGCTTCAAAGCTTGGGGCATCTAAGGACAGCTGAGGACATGATCCTGCTTGACTAGCGAAGGCGAACAGTGTGTAACAGTTATGTAACCATGACTTAGCACCAGTAAGCACGCATGCGCTAGTTACAGCACTATGTGAGAATGTAAACATGAGATAACAACCTGTATAAGAATTATACAATAAAAACACAGTTGGCTCTTGCGCTGTTGTGCTCTGCTCCACTCGGCTCCATGCTGCCTGCTGTTGTTGCTGATGTCTTACACACATGTGTTCTTTAACCTTGGGTCCGCACCCAAGAAAATCTCCCTTGGGCCCCCCAAGCAGGCTGACACATATCTAATCAAGCTGAATAAATATTTTATTTTACAGATTTAAAATATTTTATGTATATACAAGAAAGGTGCTTAATTGCACAGTCATTTGAAATCAGGTGATAAACCTTTATCTCCAACATGAACTCTCCTAGAAAACACTTGCTCTCAAGTTTAGGGAAGATCAGAATGACTTGTTAATGAAAATCATCAATTCCTGGACCCCAACCTGGATAAAGATTTGTGTTAAAGTAGTCCTCACAGGGGCAAAAGTATTCCCCCAAAGCAGCTGGTCCTCAATCAAACTTTGATAAATGTTGTGACAAAGATACAGGATGTTGGTTTTATGTCATTTAAATAACAAGTTTACAAATTTCTTGGCTTATAAAGGAACATGATTTTTCGAAGTATATTTAAATCGGTAACCATGGAGACTAAATGATGCCGTATGGGCTAGCAGATTCCTCTAAGCATCTCTATTTTGCTTGGTCACTTGCCCCCTTCTCAGTACACATTTGACCTGCCATAATTTTCTTCTTTCCTTTAACCCCAATATGCTCACAACACCTATGATGCAATATAGGCTCAGTACATCTACCAAAAGAAAGAATATTTCCATATGGTTTCTTTGCTTCTAATGACTGCTCAAAACCCTAAAAAAATTTTTTTATGTTGCTTTTAATGGTTAAACATTGTAAAAAGCTGTACAATATTACTGGCAGATAGGCAATTGTCATTTTCTGGCCATAGAATAATTGCTTAGGCTTTGAAATTATTTTATTAATTTAATACATTGCATGTTAATACAAAAGCATAATAGTTTACTAGGAAGGTCATAATTGGTCTTTGTTAACAAAGTATACAGATTATGTTCAGAAAGTCACTCTTTTAGTATATTAATTCTTACTAAAATGTATAAAATGTTAAACTGGAGAAGAAAACAGTTAATACTGTGTTCATAAGACAGGTAGCATCAAATATAGTTTCATAAGGCTGTCTCCCAAAGATCAATACTTGAAGAAATTTCCTGTATACTGCCATAAAATTTCAGAGACTTTTCATGGAGAAGAAGTGTTTCTTCAAGATTACTTCCACTGATGTTCTGAGCATTAAAGTGATTTAGATTACAATATCTAAAGACAGAAAGAAGGAAAGATTTTCTTAGGACCAGATGTAGATGATTTCATAAATCATTTACTTTTCTCCTGTGCTTGTCTACCTTTTATGATGGGCTCGTAGATACTGGCACAACAATGATGATTATTTAAGAGCCCTCCTCACCAGAACAGTCTTTAAAGTAGGACAAAGAAATTTCACAGCATACTAAGGGTCTTACAAGGACCTGTAGGTGGTGCTCTACTACAACCTGCGGAGAGTCTCTTCAGGGCCCACACTAAGGGAGATGTAGAACCCTAAGACTGCCAGGATTCATAAAGGCTCATCAGATTTACTGGGTTTTTGTAAATTTGGTGCTGAGATCATTTTGAAGAAGGAGGCCATGCCTATATTTCTAGAATGTTCACCCTCCACTCCCAACCAAAGGAAAACTTTCCTTCCTTGAGTGTTCTCTCAGTACCAGGCACTATGCTACAGTGGGATGGGATCATCTCCATTTCAGATTGGAAAACTGAAATCCCAAAAGTTAAACAACTTTTTTAGGGTTCGTGTAAATAACAGTTGGTGGAACCAGGCTTTGGAATCAGAACTTGGTTACTCCACATCCTAGCTTTTTTTCCATTATAGTACACTGATTCTGAAGACAGTTTTTTCTTAAACATGTTTGGATAAGATTCAAGAGGATGGCCATTTTAAACTGCTTTTTTTTTGTTCTGTGTTCCTAATGCCTGTTCAAGTGCCTAGTGTACAGCAGATATTCAATACATATACTTTTTTTTGTCTTTTTGAGATAGGGTCTCGCTATGCAGTTCAGGCTGAACTTGAGCTCACTTTGTAGCTCAGGCTGGTCTCGAACACACAACGATCCTCCTAGCTCAGCCTCCTGAGTGCTGGGATTACAGGCATGCACTATGCCTGGCAATATTCAATACATATTTGTTGAAAATATGTATTGTACAAAAGAATACGAGCTATACAATTTTACAGTTTTATCAAATGTAAGTCTCTGGGGTCAGCCATGTATATTTAGCTTGTAAAGGCCCCAAGAAGGTAATTTTGCCTTCTTTGCTAAAAATAACTGGAAGAGAAAGAAGACTGCCTGCATAACTCTGGTCATTTGTCCCTAATTTATGTTGCTTTCAATAATTGTTACAGGTTATGCATAGAAGACCGGTACCTTTGGAAAAAGAAGTACACTGAGGAACAGTGATGGTGTTATAAAAAGCCAACCCTCTCTTGGCCTTTCCCTCTGAAACAGCTATAATTTCTTTTTATTTTCGCAACCAGTATGGGGTACTGTCTTGGTTAATTTTCTCTCGTTGCTGGGACAAAATATCTGACACCCAAAATTAAGGAAGGAAAGGTTTATTTCACTTACAGTTTGTGGAAGTTTCAGTCCATAGTTGGCAAATTATAAGGCAGAGTGGCACATGGCAGAGAGCTACAGTTCATGTCCGCAGAACACAGCAAAAGCAGCAAGCACACACCAGGGCGGAATGGGGGAGGAATGTCCTCAAGCACTCTTTTCCTCTCCTTACATATGCAAACTATCCACCCCAGGGCGGGTGCAGCTCTCACACCCACAATCATTCAACTCTAATAGCCTGCCTCATGGTCGCATGAGGCTTTGGAGGGGACACACAGACATAAACCATAACAGGTACATATTTCCATTAAGCACTGTGGATATATTTACTTAAGCTTTTCAGCAAAGAAAAATATTCTGCTTTCATCTGCTTACTTCCTTTACACCTAAATTGGAGAGTTGTGAATATGACATCTCATCATTGTGTGATTTCAAATTTGATTGAGGAGAACTTCATTAGGGCCAAAGGCAGAAGTTTTTGCTTGTTAATATAAGAGATATGTCTGTTCTGCCACTCAGGAGTAATTCTTAACTATACTTGAGGTGATGTCCCAGTGACCCTGACAAGATTAATATGTTTCTAACAGTTACACTAAGATTATGTCAGTAGTTGGTGTCCTTGGGCACAAACAGAGACTGATATCACCTGTACATTAATAAGGGTGTTGTTTCGTCATTTTTGTCAAAATATTGGGTATAAGCATAAGCCAGGACTGCCCTCTTTTAGACACTTTGCCACAGTGCCTTGGCTCTGAATAAATATTTAGGTCTGACAAAAATTGACAGACTGTGTACTGAAATCAAAGCTTATTTGACTTACAAATAACATGTTTCAATAATATCATCTCTGGGACATGGCTGCTTTCTCATGTTTCTTTCCATATTTACTGTTCCTTGGTGCTGGAAAATAACAATTAGTATAAAAACAAACTGGAATCATGCACCCCTGAATGCAGACAGACTTACTCCCTGTGGTTCTGCAGCGTTCTTGCCTAATTCTTCTGACTTGATCTGTACAACTCTATTGGCTTATAGATCCCCAAGGTAAAGTGTGCCTTTGCGCTGATATAGTTGGTTCTGGATACTTAATCTTTGGAAGCAAACTTGCTGGACTCTTTTTCTTCTGATGTGTGACACCCATTCTTTTCTTGTGGGCTTGCTGATCACAAGGTGGTAATGGCTGTAGATACTTTAACTAGATCTCTCTCAAATGGCTGAGGATTTTTTTATAGAGCAAGTAGAAGGCTCTTTCCTGGCTCTTACAAGCAGCACAGTATAGGAGTATGGGCTTTGGAGACAACCAAACTTGAGTTTGAATCCTAGTTGTGTGAACTTGGTCAATTTATTTAGCTACTTTTGCACTTTAGCTTTCTTAGTTATAGAGTGATAAGATTTATGTAATGGGTCGGTTGAAATTGTTTGTATCTGTACAGCATGTCACAGGGCACTCAACATGTGTGGAATTAATTTCTTTCCTTTTTGTTTTGCTTCTTCTCCCCTCTCCCCCAATTATGTAGGAAAACATAGACAGGAGATGGAGATGGAGAACATCTGGGGATGGATGATTAGATTTATTTCTGAATAAATACTTTACCAGGGGTCCCCCAATGTTTTGGCACGGAGGACTGGTTTTGTGGAAGACGATTTTTCTGTGATGGGGTGGAAGTAGTTTTGGGATCAGACTCTCATCTAGAACATGCAGTCTACCTCCCTTGCTTGTGCAGTGCAAGGTAGAATCTACGCGCCTGTGAGGATCTAATGCTGCCACTGATCTGACTAGAGGTGCAGCTCAGTAGTAACAGGAGTGATGGGAGTAGCTGGGAACACAGACGAAGTCTTCCTTGCTTGCTGCTTACCTCCCTCTGGGAGGCCCAGTTCCTAACACACCACAAGCTGGTACTGCTCTATGTCCTAGCTCTGAGGACCCCTGGACTGCTTGGTCTCTTATTTTTGGTTTCTCCAGTCTTTGGTGCTTTTTATATTTTTATCCTTCTCTGGACTCCATACTACCATCTCTTACTCAGTTATAGTAACTCACTTGCCCAACAATCATAGAGTAAGAATCACACTTGAATATTTTAATTTAAACATCAATGTTAGTTCCATGTCGCCTGGCATTTTGCTTGGTTCAACTTTGTACCACAAGTACATGGAATGATGTTTAACATGTTGGTTGAATGCATGAATGAAAGAATGACTGAATTCCTGAGCTAACAAATGCTGGTTCTGGTGCAATTATACTTGAATTTAACCCTAATAATGTCTGTCAGGTACACTTCAGTGTAACTTCAGAAGAAGAATTGTAAAAGGGAGGAGGAAGGAAGCATGTTATGGTTTGTGTCTGGGTGTCCCCCCAAAGCCTCATGCAGTCATGGGGCAGGCTTTTAGAGTTTGGCTGGTTATGGGTGTGAGAGCTACACCCGCCCTGGGTGGATAATTTGCATATGTAAGGGACAGGAAGAGGCTGCTTGCCACCATTCCTCCCTTTTAGTGCTTGTTGCTTTTGCTGTGTTCTGCCCCCATGAGCTGTAGCCCTCTGCCATGTGCCGCTCTGCCTTGTAACCTGCCAAGTATGGACTGAAACCTCCACAAACTGTAAGTGAAATAAACCTTTCCTTCCTTAATTTTGGGTGTCAAGTATTTTGTCCCAGCAACGAGAGAAAAGTAACCAAGACAAAGCAGGAGGCCAACTCTAGGGCCACTATTGTTATTATTGCTAATTGTTTGAGACTGTACTCATCCTCATGCCAGCCTTATGGCCCAGTTACTATTCTTAATGTTTCCTTTTTACAAATGAATGAACTGAGGCTTAGTAAGGTTAAGCAGTCGCTGAGGTTTGTACAGCCAGTACATTGTAGAACTGGATTAAGCTATGCTGATTCTGGAGACTGCCTTTTAAGCTACTTCATGAAGGACAGGTTAAAAACAAAAACTGGGTGATAGGACAGATATATTAGTCACTTTTTTTGCCATGGGGACGAAATCCCTAGTACCTGCAATTTAAAGGAGGAGAGGTTTACTTTGGCTTATAATTTCAGTCCAAGGTTGGCTGTTTCTAAGGCAGAAGTATCATGGTGGGAGGGCATGATGGAGGAAATTTGCTTACTTTGTGGTCACCAGGAAGCACAGAACAAGGAAAAGTCAGAGAGGAAGGGTTCAGGGACCGGATGGAGTCCCCAAGGCCTGCCCCCCTTGGCTCATCCTGATATACACTGAAATATGCCTTACTAATCTCATAGCTCTCTCTCAAGTCAGTCAAGTTGACAGGCTAGAAGAGCCATCGGACCAGGTGTGTGTTCATTTGTGAGTAAATGGGTACCGAGTGTGTGGCTGTAGGCAGTGAACAGGAGGAAAAGAGCTTTGTCTTCATTTCAGTTTTCATTCCTGGATTTTTTTTTTACAAAACTGAGGAAATTCTTGTTGGCTTATTCTAGAAGACTGATTCTTTAATTTCCTTCCAATCTAAGAATGAGGCTGGCATTTAGGGAAATTGTGTATCATGGAAGATCATTTTGATTTCTAGTTTGTCAATATGTTTTGGTTCTTTTATCTTTACAACAAAAGAAATATCCAAATTTAGGGAGGCACTAAGGCTTTTAATCTCGTCTTCCAATCTGCCTTGCATGGGGTGTTAGTGTCACCCATACTGAGCACAAGCTCCACGTGAAAAGTAACATAGACGAAGCTAAGTTTGCTGACCTCCTCTGTAGTAAACTCCTGTTTACTACCTTACCTATCAAATGACTGTACCAGAAGGGATTTGTCGCAAGCATAAAAGAAAGACTTTTAGCAAGGGAGAAATGACAAGGAGTGGGATGATTTATGACTAAATACATATATGAATGAAATAAAAAGATGAAAATGAAAATCTGCTTCATTCCCAGCAGTCATTGTGCTTTGTGCTTTCTCAAAATTGTTCCCCAAACCCATAAGTGGTTGGAATTATTGTTTTTTTTTTTTTTTTAACTTGTGTAACTGGTTAGGCAGTTTAGCCAAAGTACACACCCATCTAAGAATATGTCAATGGGAGGGAGGAAGGCAGGGAGAGAGGGCTCAATAAGGCCTAATGATGGATGGATGGGACGTGATACATATTAAGCCACTGAACGGTCTTAGGTGATTAGCTAAGGGATTTTTGCACACTGATGTTGAAATGGTCACTGTTGATTTAAAGGCCTGAATGGGATCCAAATCTCAAGAGTCATTAGATTTCTAGCTATTTGTTTAATGATATTTGCTTTTAATAGTAAAAGCACTCATTATCAGTATGGTTATTTATAATTCTAAGTGCTACATAGTGGAGAAAAAACTCTTATAACATGCTTTAAAGTGAAGGAAGCACTATTTTATTATGAGCATCAGTGGAGAAGTGAAGACTAAAATGAAATTTCTGGTTCTACATAATCTGTTAAATTTCTGAAATACACTCATGTGTCCAGTAACAGCATACCAGATTTCCATTGCCGCACTGGTGGTTTCCAGACCACTGTTTCGTGGAGTCAGAAATTGTTCATCTTACCGTACACTTCCATACCTTTGTGAAACACTCCAGAATCCCAGGACATTCAGCAATGTTAATGACGCCAGCAGGAAGAAGAAGTTTTCTAAATTGCCTTTGTTTAATGTGTTTGGAAACCAATTGCCTGTTTGGAACAAATGTAATTATTATTCAACTGCAGAATTATAAGTTTCTGTGAATATTTTTTCTTTTCCCAATTCGTAGAGCTTTATTCGCTTCAATAATATCTCCAAGGCAAAAAGCTCATCTAAAACTTGATTGTTAAAACTCATTTAATTCTCTGATTGCCAGTACAATGATAAGCAAAGTACCCCAAATATTTTGAGGTTAAAAAACTTTAGCTGGGGTATGAAGGTTATCTGGATGATATTATTAATTTGTAGGAACTGTTTGTCTTATTTACTCTTTTTTTTGTTTTGTTTTTTTGTCTTTTGTTGTCTTTTTGAGACAGGGTCTCGCTATGCAGTTCAGGCTGGACTTGAGCTCACTTTGTAGTACAGGCTGGCCTCAAACTCACGATGATCCTCCTACCTCAGCCTCCTGAGTGCTGGGATTACAGGCATGTGTCACCATGTCCTGGCTTGTTTTATTTATTCTTATACATTTAGTACCTAGAATAGTGCCTAGAACCTGGGGATTGTTTGATAAATGTGTACTGAATGAGTGAAAAATATTTTTCATCATTGGACAATCTGTTCACATGTTAATTGCAACGCAATTGAGGTAATACATGTAGATGATAGCTATTAAGTTATTTTGAAAACTTAGATAAATGTAGGGTTATCTTACAATAATGTCACTGCTCCTATTTGTAAATTGCTTCAATCTCTGAATGACATGGATATTTTCCTTTAACCTGCTGAATAATTCCTTTTAACATCCTATAATAAAGGATCCCTATTTCCTTATGATGCCAAACTGAGTACATATGAAATTATTCAGAATTCAAGGCAATTTAATTCACTCCTAAGTTTTTACTTTTCTTTGGATCTTTGCTGTAGTTTTCTCTTTTTGTCACATCTATATCTATACCCACATCTATGCACATACTCAAATTTTGTTCAGTGGGTTTTGAGGTATTATGTTCCAATTATTATACAAATTGTAACACATTATGTATATGCAACCCTCAGTTTTAGACAATACAACAAAACAGTGGTGATATCTAGTATTGCCAGATATACTACCAAAATCTAGTATTATAGAATGTTTAGGGGCTGGGGATTTAGCTCAGTGGCAAAAGCGCCTGCCTGCCAAGCGCAAAGTCGTGAGTTCGGTTTCCGGTACCGGAGAAAAACCAAAAAAAAAAAAAAAGAATGTTTAAAAGGAAAAAAATGTATCTTTATGGAGAGTTTAATTCAATTGGAGTTCTGAGTGAGTAGAATATTTCCAAAAAATATTATGCATATGAGAACAGGAACTAATCATCTTTGAACTTTCAAATACCAACATTTTGGCATTTTCTTGTCTTTTTAAAGGAACAGCTCCTACAATGGGTTGTAAAGATGAGTTCAGGACCAGAGCAATCAGTCTATGTGCCAATAGAATTGCTCACAGCGCCATCCTAGGCAAATGGGTTGTGAGTTGCTTTGTGAACCAGAAACTGTTTCTTGGCTTCTCCCTTGACAGTGCATACTTTCAAGTGGGATTTGAAATAAATGCTCTGTTCAAGGTTGACAGTCAGCAAGTGCCTAAGTATGACAGCTCTGATTAGTTGTGCCACTTCCCATGGAAAACCGCTCCTCTTCTGTCATTTAACTTCCCAATAACCATTCCTATGGATCAAGTATGAGAATTATCTTGTGTCTTTTATAGTCTTGGACCCATACATAAAAGTTGGTACTGAGTTTAGAAGTATTTTGGAAGTTCTACTTCCTCATTTTGTTAATTTGCATTCATTACAAAGGAAAGTTTTCATTTTATTGCTATACTGACATGATGCCTTCACCTGGGGTTTAGATGAGTAGATTCACTGAAGATTTCCCTATTTGTCTGTCTATCTCTCTGTATACCAGATATTGTGAGTCTACGTGTGTGTAGGAACTAGATATTTGGTTGTAGTTGTATTTGAATATAGGGACTTGTGATGGAGGTCAAGATAAGGTGAGATAACACCCTGGTTATTTTCAGAAAGAATTAAATCATCCTGCTAAGCCTATTCAAATAGTCCTATTTTCTTTTTTTCTTGAATTAATATCCCAGTCGTATTTCTGTCCTTTTCATTTCACATCAGCACTTTGCATGTCGTGCGATTATACCATTTTATCACCGTGTTCCTCTGGCTAGAGTAAGAGGAGTTTGCAAGGAGCATGTGAAGCCTAAGAATTAACATGACATTAATTCTTCTCGGAGCATGAATTTTGGTCCATAAGAAGTAATTGAAAAGAATCTCTTTATATTATAACAAAGTCAGATGAGGGGGAAGAATATAAATTTTGTAAGTTCTTTAAAGGTAAAACATAATATTTCTAAGAGATTGTGCAATTACAGCAAATACTGTAATTGAAGAGACAGCCCCAGGTCCCCTGGGCATGCCAGTGTTCTTGTGTCTGTCATTGGGGATACTGGTGCAAATAAGAAGCACTGTGACTTGCTTTGTGGGAGGTGAGGTGACAGCACAGGAGGACAGGAGGTTGTTGTGCTGAAAAGGATAGAGGAAGATAGTGGAAATTTGAAGGTCTATGAAAAGCACTTTGAGAGTGGGGTCATTTAAAAAATAAAATGAAAGATTCCCATTTCACCTCTTAAAATTCCTGATAACACCGTATTCCTCCTTAAATATCATTTTGAGTATTCAAATGTGTCCATCATACTGGTCTCACTGAAATGCAACATTTTCTGCTTTATTTAACTATAAATTAGCATTTTCTGTACATCTAACTTACACGATGAACTCTAGGGTAAAGAGAATCATCACCTGAGTGGATAGAGTGGGACAAACACCAGCATCAATTTGGATGGAGAGATTCCTCAAGAAACCTAAAAACTTCTTTATCCATATAGAAATTATCTGTCTAGGTAAAGAGACAGATTTGATGTAGAAAGATGTAGACGGAACGTGGGCTTTGAGGTAGACAGACTGTTGAGGTCACATCTTGCTTGCATTATCAAATGATTTTGTTATTGGGAAAATAATTGGACCATTTAAACCCCAGTTTCTTTACTCCCAAATGATGCTGATGATACCTCTTTCACTAAACTGGAAAGAGAAGTAGAAGAAATAGTGGCTGTCAAGAGCCAGGCACAGAGCAGGCTCTCTGGAAACATTAGGTTATCTCCTCCTCCTGCCCTTTTTAGAGGTAGCTCACAAAAATCGAGTAACCTGAACTTGATCTTGGGCTTGTTTCCTGTCAGATATTCCTTCATGTTCCGCGTGCCATTTTTTTTTTATCATTATCCCAGGACTGGTTGTAAAATGTTCCATTTAACATTGTCAGTTGACTCAGCTCTTAGGTACTATAACTTTATTTTAGTAGCTTATAAACTTTTATTGTCGTAATTCACATTTGTGCCATTTTTCATCTGACATTTCTAGTAGCTGATTGAAATCGGGAGCATCCTTGTGAAAGGAGACAAAGTGAAGACATTAGGTCTGGAATGAGCCTGACTAAACTTCTCCAGAACTCAGCTTATGTAAGCCGGGAGGTTAATAATGAGAGAGAATGGCCATATACAGGGCGGGTTGGCTCATTCATTTGAGGCCACCATTAATGCTCACAGTGAGCCCTAGTTTTCTAGCTTAATAGTGTAACCAACATATTAGTAATGAGTATTCTGCTGTTGCAGGTATAGAGCACTCACAAAATGCTTAACATTGTTCAGAATTCCTCTAGATAGCTCTTGTTCAACTTGATTTATTTTTTTTATCTGAAAGTGATTTTTGGGTGGAAATTTTTTCATACCAGGAAGTGCACATTCCAAGTTACTTAAAGGAGTCTACAGATTAGCAAGGGATGTGCTGATAGTAATTACTTGAAAGTATTAGACTTTATAAGTACTAAATGAAATATTTCTATTTACCTTAAATTACCATAGTCATTGCAGAGACAAAAAGACTGTAGAAGCCTATGGACTAGTTGTTTCATTTTACAGATAAAATAGTGCAGGCACTGAAAGGTAAAGTGAGGCAGTGCTCAGCAGAAGCCTCATCTTCCTACCCTTACAGCAAATGTGCTAGCATAGGCCCTGGCTGGTGCCAGGGAAATGACCATTATTACTTCCTCTAACAGCTTCTCAGTAGCTTAACTGTGTGTGGATGGTAGTTTTTGAAATAGCTTATCTTAAATTGCTTCTAAAACACCTAATACCACCTCTCTACCCAAACCCTGGGGCTCTCCCTTAAGCTACTATGGAATTCTTAGAATAATTTAGACTAAATTTAAAGCTTTTGAAACTGGAGAGAGAAACATATATGATGATACACATGTGCAGAGCTGCTATACAGAGCACAAAGTGGCAAATATGAAAGGGAAATGTATTTTATTTCTCTCTAAAATTCCTATACAGTAAGGTCCAAAGTTTCAAGTTCTGCCTTGGTGTATTTTAGCGTCACAGGGTGACATACATCTAAACATGTGTGTGATAGCTTTTGTTAGACACGTTCCCCACCCAGAGGGAAAGTCTCCCCAGAGGAGCCAGATCAGCTGCACTCTACCCGGGTCTCAACCTACCAGATTTCGCTTCCCTGCTAGCCCTCAAGATTAGCTGAACAAATCTGTCTTAGCTACTTTTCTCCCCTCACTGAGACAAACTACCTGACACCCAATGTTAAAGGGAAGTTTATTTAGCTCACAGTTTGTGGAAGTTTCAGTCCATCACTGGCTGGCTCCAAGGCAGGATGGCATGGCAGACAGGCATCGCAGAGGAGAAACAGTTCATGGCAGGCAGAAGGTAGCAAAGCAAGCAAGAGAATTTAGCAACTTCTCTCTGCCCCTTTTATACTCTATCTAGGATGCTGGGGTTAGGGTTGTGCCAAACCAATCAGTAGACTAATTTAACACACAGCTTTGATCCCGGCATCACACACTCTAGATTCAGCCACCTCTGAAAAAGCCCCCCCTGTGGCTGCATGAGGCTTTGGGGAACATCTAGACATAAACCATAACAAAACCCATCACATCTTTC